AATTGATGACGAACTTAATGAAAGTACTCCAAGCATTTCAGAAGAAGGCTCCTGGCTCAGCAATTCTTCTTTCAAACCAAATATTCTAACTTCCTTTTCCGGTTGGCTTTACCTTACTTTTATTTCTTATATTTTTAGATCTGATATTTTCGCACTCCAATGTTCCTTTATTACTTGAACCTTATGACATTATTTCCTGGTTTGTTCGAATAGTTTACTTATAATATAATCAGCCGCTTAAAAGCTGCGAAGCATTCGGACATTGCAGATAAAGATGAGCTATTTGCAATTGATAAAAAATTTGATAAGAAGCTTTTCAATGATTCACCTCCTGAAAGCACAATTAAATATGACATCAAGAATGCCAAAAATATAATTGAAAATGCACGATATGAGAATATTACTATCTACTCGAAAAAGAAACGCTATTTCAGCAAAATGAATATCAGAACTCTTATTGGCTGTAATTTATTTTCCAGTTTTTCTATTTTTTTTCTTTAGCCTCTGATCCTGCTTTCTGTCAAACAGAAAAACTTAAGATAATGGAGAGATATACAGAATTAAACAGATTCATATACGAAAATCCTCGGCATATTTTGACTTGGTTTGAGATAATTGATATTCAGGCCTCGGTCGTACCGTTCTCTTCAATAACAACACCAATAATCCATATTAATCAATTAAAATTCCCGGTTCTATGTAAGCAACTTGAAGTCACTGAAAAGGCTCTATCGAAAAATCTTAGTTGCCTACCTTTAAAGTTTCTTCGACTTCACCTTGCTGAACTTGCTGCCACTCTAAATACTGATGGAAAACCCGATACTTCTGCAAAGCTGCCAGTTTTATCTTCTCCCCTCCCTTCCTCGCTTATGCAATCTGATAACCTCCTTAGTAACTGGGCCCAACTTGCATTCACGCATCCTCAGGTTGTCGGAGTTTGGCGAGGTTATTTGGCATACCTGCGCCGACGCATCTGGCCAAATTCTAGTCTTGATCTAAGCTCCAGTCTGTTTTATCGAGTTGACGCTGCGTACAAACGTGCGATTGGAACGTTGTCTGGCATTCTTTCAGGTCGACTTTTGTCCCACAAGCCTGAAGAAGACACTGCAGAACAATCACTTGGTATGCTCTTTAATTGTCGTTAATTGACTTTATTGTAATAAAGTACATCCTCCATTTTTCAGTGCATATCTTTTGAACTCCATAAGTTGCCTTTATTAGGTATTTCTTAAAAAAATATAATATGTTCTTATTTCCTTATAAAACTTGTTTATAAACTTAAAAAATGATGGCATATTTGTCATTATATATTCGATTAAAGCCCATGGCGAAAGTGATATGCGCGTAAGATGCTAAATCCTGTCCTCTATTACATCCATTTAATAGGTTAAATAATAAGTACAAATAAAATACTACATAT